CTTTTATAATTGCCATTAAAATTTGATCTTTGATGGTATGATTGAATTGTCCACCTACTGAAAACTTCTTGCACAAGTTTGGTAGAAAGCAGAAATTACATTCATTGCAGGTAATGTTCACAGAATGTGTACTCTCCTTGCCCTGAACACTACATTGACTGGACCAAACATATGTGTTTCATTTTTAATATTCCTAGTCTTCTGAAGACATATAAAATGCAATTACTTGTGAGTTCTGAGTTACTTCATGACAGTCTGCTTTGGTGGAAGATACTAAAAAAGAACTTACCCTTCTTTTGGTAAATGAAATGTTTACTGCAGAAAGAGGAGTTTAAACGGGGCATTAGCAGTGTGTGAGTTTATGACTGATCTTTCACTTAAGCTCTGGTTCTGTTTGCCCAAGAAAGTGCTTACTCAACACATCAATATGGTTAATACTTCACTATTAAGGATAATTTCTCATAGTAGGAATTTTACTGAATGTAGCACCAAGTAAAATGTTGACACAAAGATCATCATAGTCATAGATTTATTAATGGATTCATTTGAAATTTATGTGTTACCTTTGTGTAATCATTTACTGCAGTGCCAAATTAAGGTCATAAAAGGTCATGCTACTAAAAATATCATTAGGTATGTAGTTATTTTTTGTTAATTTCATTTTAAACTGTATTCTGCATGAAGATACATTGGTTGGTAGACATATTACAAGGTATACAAAATATACTCAGCAAGCAATTTTTTGCTTTTGACATGTAGATGATAAATATACTTTCCAGACTTTGTTAAGCATCAGGTTCAGAGAATAAAGCAAGAATAGAAGCTGAATTCTCCTACAGGGAAAATGCAAATCTAGGCATTTTAAAAAGAGAAATATGGTGCTATATTGTAATCAGGTGCAAAATGACTTTAATGGAGGAAGAGATTCTGTAGCTCCTGCTGTTGAAGCTGATGTTTATTCATAGCTGGGATTTTCATTGTGGTAAAGTTTGAAAGCTGCAATTAGAGATCTTTACTGTTCTTGGCAAACTTGGATACAAAATTTGAATTACAATGGAATTTCTATGAATAGAATTTTGAACTTTAATGAGTTTTTATTGTTTGAAATTGCTGTTCTTAGACATGAATGCACTTAATAAATTTACATCAGCAAAGTTTGAAATTGCTGTTCTCAGACATGAATACACTTAATAAATTTACACCAGCAAAGTGGCAAGATTTTTTTCCTCCATCTCTGAAAGGTATTTATCTTTTCAAATATGTATGCATAATGTAAAATTATTGGGGGTTTTTTGGCCAGTCTTTTACTGGAGGTGAAACTTCCTGGTTTGTTTATCTTTGTTGAGTAGCCTGACTGTTAAGTGTGGCTTTTGAAAAACAAAAAATCAAAACCAGCAGCCAGGTTCTGTACTGAATATTTGCTTCTCTACTTGACATCTTTACTTTGCATCCCCATGTACTTTTCACTTAATATCATTCCCTAACTGTATGCTTTACAGAGACTTTTCTCAGCCAATATTTTTAAAACAAAGTCATGGAAGTTTGGTCTCTTTCTCGTGGACTGAGGTGTAGAAAAATTATTGGTGATCTGCATCTCTATATTTCAAGTGCGTTGAAGCATTTGAGTGAGAAGATTAACGTTAGAGTTCCCTCTCTCTGAACATAATGGCCCTGCAAGGTATCTTAATAGGATACTTAAAGCTCTAGGACTTTTTTTTTCCTCTTTAAGTATCTCAGTTTCCCATATATGAAACGACATTGATGACTAACTTCTGTGTTTTAGCAGTTGTAAGAATATTTGAGGAATTCTTCCCTTCTAGAAAGGTGTCTGTGCTATTACACTCTCAAGTCTCATTCTGGTAATCTTTTGCCTGAACACCTAAGCTGGCAAGATCCGTCTATTGTAACTTTAGTTGGATATTTTATCTGATGTATCTAATTCATGGGGGAAAAACACTGGTTTAATCCCATCCTAAAGTCATTTTTTAACAGTTACTCTATACAGTTGCCTTTTTAGAGGTAATGATAGATTAAAGCTTACTGATTAACTCAGCCTAGATACCTATTTTTGAAATAGCAAAAAATTAGATGAAAATTCCAGTTTGCACTTGCTTGGATTTGATTACTTCGGGATTTGTTGCTTGCGTACATCAAATAAGACTCATTCAACTAACTTTAACATGTGTTCTGTCTTTTCTTCTCTTTTGCAGCACTGTGTGGAGGAGAGGAGAGTTTCTTGTGTGCCAGTGGGATCTGCATCCCAGGGAAACTGCAGTGTAATGGCTACAATGACTGTGATGACTGGAGTGATGAGGTCCATTGCAGTAAGTTTCTTACACCATGCAGTGTTCTGTTGAAGCATTGAATCCATTCAGGGAAACTTAAAAACTGAAGGAGGCTATTGGTACAGAATAGGAGCTTTGTGTAGTGTTTGTGTGTGTTGACATTTGGACTCTCTCAGTTGCTGTTGACTGTTTACCTTTGCTCACTCACACCAGTGTGTGGTTTCCATTTATCAAATTCGATCTACCAAATTTTATGCCTTGAAGCAGATACCCTGTAAAGAGCTATGTGGAAATGAGAAGTTTCTGGGAGCTTTTTTTTTTTTCTTCTTCTTCTATTTTAATGGATTAATAATGTGCATCAGAAAGGAAGCACTTCTGATAATCAGTTGAGGAACTGTTGTAGCCTTTTCCTGGACCTGAGCATTGATTTTAGAGTAGGTGCAAGACCACCTGTTTAGGAAGTTCTTTTGGTCTCAACCCTGGATGTGGTTTATTTAATTTAATCCCACTATAAGGTGCGGTAGAAAAGAAAAATGAATATACATGCATGATATCTTAATTTCTTAGTAATTTTGCTCTTTAGAGTTCCTATGTGTTTTCTGTGCTGACAAAAACATTCTTGGACTGCAAACACCTTTAGAAAAGCTGAGCAAATGTATAGTAGGAAAACAATGAGAAGGAAAAAAAGGAAGATGTGGGAAAATTACTAAATAGGGACTATAGTAGGACATGATGCCACAAGACATTGCTGCTCATTCAGACTTTGGAAAATGTCAAAATTGTGTTTCAGACTGTGCAATTTACACTCATCTCAAAAGATTTGTTCTTACTAGTGATTTAAGAGTCTGGGCATTCCAAGATTCATAAAACTGCTTTTAAGGAAGTTGCTAATAGATTCTATCTGGGATACTCCAAGGAATAAATGATGGCAGCAATTTCCTCCTGGTCTCTGTATGAATGAGGCTAGAATGTGCTTTCCCTTTAATAGCCTGTGATTTATTTAATGGAGGTTGAGATAATTTCTGTTACATAAAAAGTGTTGTATGTTTTTATTTTTTAATTTTTCCTGTGAGAGTTAGCTTCAGATCTAATGTAAGCTGAAAAAAATTAAAAATGCCTATGAGACTATAGCTCTCAACTTCCATTAGAAATGGGAAAAGAAGAAATTTGTAATAAAAGAAAAAATATATTACACATCTTGAATAACAAAAAATGCCACATCATGCTCTGGTCACTCATACTCCTTGGCTGCTACTTATAGGTGTGGAGATGGCCATGGCTGCTCTGGCAGTGCCCAGGCCTTGGTCAGCATCTCCTGTGAGAGCTGCCAGCTTCTGGCAGGGCTTTCAACTCCCCTGGCATCTCTGTGCCTCAGAAAATCCCCTGTGTGTCAAGGTCTGCTGCTCCACTGTGGATCAGGCTGGCTCTGGAGCAGCTCACCTCTTCAGCTGACCATGTTTACAGGAACATTTTGACAAAAGCTTATTGAGGCATGAACGTTAAGACACTCAGTACAACCTTACTGTTACCCCATACTTGTTATTTTTATTGCCAAGTTATAACCCTAAAATTATGGATTTTGCACAGCAGTGTTTTATTATTGGTTTCAGTTAAACTAATTTTCAAAGGTGCATTAGTTCAGCATGCTTGGTTTGGTTTTCATTGTTTTCCCTCTTTAGAGTGAACAAAGAAGAGTCCTCTGAGCATCCTGACAGTTCGTGTCCCTTTTCTGACAAAGGTCACAGTTGTGTGAGGGCAGCTATGTTCTCATCAGTATGAAGAGGTTTCTTCTTCTGTTGAGAAAAAAGCAAAGCTACTAAGCTTCCATTAATGAAAACTGGCAAAAATTAGTGTTAACCCTAAAAATATATTCTCTTCAGGTCTAGCCAATGTATGCAAGTTTTAAGTGTGTGAGTAGTTTTGGAAAGTCTGCCTTATTTCTGTAGAGATCATTATAGATAATTGAAGGTTATAAATTTACAGTTAATCATGAAATCTATGACATGATTAATTTTTACTTTTTAAAACACTTCCTCTTTAATCAAAGTATATGCTATCAAATTTTAATCTCATTCTAGGCTCATTCATAGGGTGTTTTAGTTCAGTTTCAAGATAGTTTAGTAGTAACTTTCACAGTGACTGATACTTCCATAAGAATGAAAATATTCAATAGTCCCCCAAATTAAGCTGATATTCACCATTTAATTATTAAATATTTGGCAATATAAGCAATATTTGATAAAGAAAACAAAAGTTTCAATTTTTATGCTTATAGCTGTCCCTCCTTAGTTTTACTGTTGAAAATTATATACATTATGAAATATGCAAGTCTCTGGTTTAAATCTTTTTTTGTATTAATAGTTCTTCCTAGAATTTCCTTTCAGGGTTCTGCATCAAGAAGCTGGTCATATCATACAATCACTTTCCTATTCTTGGCTCTTAACATATTTTTTTTCCTTCTTCCCTCTGATGGTCCATAACAGTCATGCAGGCAATAGTTGGGCTTTAGCAGAATCCATCCCTCTTTTCGAGAGTGTAATTTAATTTACTTAGCAGTGTCACTTTCGTTGCTTATACCACTTAATCAGTGACTTTGTGCAGTGAAGGGTACCAGCTGAGGAATCAGAATTCAGCTCAGCCAGTTATCACACAGGAATATGGACCGGAAACAGCTGTAATGCTGATCTACAAATGCATAAATTATCAGGGCCAAAACTTGGAGCTGTCAAAGGACCCTGATTAGCAAACTTCACATGTACCAAATGCATCAGATTCTCATCCCTCCTGCTACACTTACATACATTTGCTTCCTCTTCCTCCTTGTGTTACTTTCACAGACATACTTCTCTTTCACAAAGGGTGAACTAGCTGAAGACCATTTTAGCATCTTAAAAATAAAATACGATAGAAAATGTTTATGCACGTGTGACACTACAAGCCACAGTTCAGAACAGAGCATTTTGTTGAATTAAGGTCTTACTCCTAGAAGCAGCAGAATTTGTACATTAAGTCTGCACATATGCCTTTAAACATACATCTTTAAAATGCAGGACTCCTAAAATCAGCTCTGAGTGTTGGGCTGAGGTGATTCATGGCCAGAAGGACACATGGTGCAATAGTGAAGTGGTGAAAACTGGGTATGAACGAACAGAGATCAAAGAGTTGTTGAATGCAAAAGATTCACCAGACTTCTTCTGTGTTTAGTGGAGTATAGAATAGGAATCTGTATTTAATTTTATGCAAACTGGGCTTTTTCCATCATTAATTAAATTAAAGTCAAGCCTTTTACAAGTGACAGCTGCAAAGTGCCCATCTTATTTGATGGAAGTAACTAGCTACTCTATACTATATATTATTGCCATTATCTTAAAGAAAATGTATGGCTGTTAGATTTTCATCAAGTGAATCTTATTTCCCTGCAAGACAGTTTGCATTCTTTTTGTTTACCCTGGCTGCGTGGGCCTGTGAGCTGCCATACCCTAAAGGACACTGCAGCAGCTATAGAAGTATGAATTAAAACAGAAATTGGGGTATGAATGGAAATTAAACAGTAAGCTTATCCAGAGGAAATAACATAGAAAAAGCCATTTTTGTTTTATTTGCATGAGGAGCAGTGGAAGCATAGAAACTGTTACAAATGAATCAATGAGATTAAAGTTTGCCAGAGTACTTCATGCTGTTGCATATTCAACATGAATAATGTTTAGAATTTGACTCACAGCTGGATATTGTTCTACTTGCATGAAGCTAGAACTTCAATATTTTCATTTAGTTTTGGGGTTGTTTTAATTTACTCTTTCATGCCTTCTTTTAAAGCTCAATTAACTGTTGACTACAAAGCTCATAGCTCAGCCATATTATTTTACTTCATATGCTGAAGAATTTCCTTCACATTGTGCTAAAAATTCTATTTGGACTTTCTAAGGTGACATGAAACTTGTAGAAAACATGAATAGTTTTGTGAGGTAAGGGAAAGAAGTGATTCATGTTCAAGTTACAGAGTTGTGGTTGATAAAACCTTGAGAAACATAGAGCACTCAACCAGGAGTTGAAACACTTGGCTGACATTGATCTGGAGGGATAGAAACCTCACTGCACCTTCTGGGAGAGTGCTGCACAAAGGACTTCCTTGGTTCCAGTGGCATAGCTTCAACAGGAAGGAGAGATTGTCCACCCAATCCTGGAATTCTCCCAGAAAAGCCAGGTGTCAAGGAAAGGCTTACAGGAAGGCAGGGAAACTAGGTCACCTACTTCCCAACTGTGTACTTGTAATCAAAAGTTACTACTAATGGGACCAGACATCACAAATCCTAATTTCTCTTCTCCCTGCTTTCCTAACTACAGGGGAGATTTCATGTTTTTGTTGAACCTGATATTATTCAAGTATTTTGGATATTCTCAGCAAATATCTGTCAGAGCTTTACTGAAGCCTTGAGTCATGAAAAGAGAGGTTAAACCCACTTCAGTCTGACAATGCTAAGAATTCTTTGATGAGAAGACATCAGGCCAAATCTGAGTTCAAAAGTGTGTCAAGCAAAAAGCTCATTTGAAACCATTGTAATATCAAAGTCAGGCTCAAAAGTGGAGTCTAGGGATCCTGATTTTGCTCTTAGAATCTTCAGCTCCATTTAAGAGTCACATCAGGTTTTCAAGACTGTCCTAGTAATCTAGCTGATGAAGCCCACAACCTTTCTTGAGAACTTTCTGTGTATAAATTAATTAAACATTTTGGTCCATATGTGTAACCAGAGCACTTTCTCCTCATGGTATTAATCAAAAAACCCACAATTGGTAGGAACAGAATAAAAATGTTTAATAAACTGGTATACAGCAGTATTAATACAGACCTGTAAATTGTGGGGTATCTTTAGCTAACCTTGTTTTTGTCAGTAAATTCCAGTGTTCATAGTTTATACAAATGCTCCAATGTAATTTTAACATTTTACAAAAATTTGTTTTGTAGACTGCAGTGATGATGTATTTCATTGCAACACAGGAAAATGCCTAAATTATACCTTTGTTTGTGATGGATATGATGACTGTGGAGACCTTAGTGATGAACAGAACTGCGGTAAATGAAAGTTTTATGCTTTTCTAAAGTCTTTAATATATCAGAATTGCCTAAGACAGCAATCTTTTCCCTTATACTACTAAAAGAGTAATATACCCTGCTGTTACTCTGTTTGGACAAAGTGAAAACAGCTTATAAATTCTATGTGCAACCAGAAAGGCTTAAAGGAGAGTTCTGGGTTAATCCAAATTGTGAAGGTCATGGTATTTGTAAAAAATACTGCGATTTGCAATTTGGTTTAAATTAATTCCAAAAGATGCTATAGTTGCTTCCTTGCTACCTTGACTGAATTTAACTGAGGTCAAAGCAAACCATAAGAGGCTACATGTTAGTGATGCCAACTGGTTTACAGCTGAACTGTTTTTACATAAGTTTCATAGCTAACCTGTATTTTTTTATTTTCAAATTCTGTTCTGTCAAATTCTGTTTTCAATCAATTTTGCATTTTCTGATGCATTATATTTACCTATCTACCTACACTTAGCTTCCATAGGAGAACCAGTGAAGTTTTGCTATAAAAAAGAATAATCTTCACATGTAAATATTGCAAAATTTTGAAAGCCTTTTTTTTGCTATTTTTTTTGCTCCTGTTACTGCACCTGTTTTCTAAAGTAATTCTTCAGTAGTTAAGATATTATTTATCATTCTTTTCCTTTTGCTTTTCTAAGGAAAATCATAAAGAATTTCAAAACTAAAAATCAAGGCACTGAGATTTGTTTTATGTTTCTTCTTGAAATTAAGCATACTCTAAGCTCTTTCACTACTTTTTTTTTTTGTTAGTTCTGGTTGGTTTGTGGTTTTTTTAATAGATCATCTTTGTTTAAAGATGATTTAGATTTTCTAAACATTAATCTGACTCCTATCATTCCTAACTTGACATGAGTTTTTTCTACATAAAATTTAAGATCTAAGTTTTTTTGTACAGGCTAGAAGTGGTTTTCATAGCAGATTTTGAAGACTGGACTTTGTTTATGCTCTCTGTTTATTTTTCTGTAAAGTTAGCCTGTTCAACAGGATGCTTTTCTTTATTTGTGGAAGCATTCAGGTAGAAAGGGTAAGATGAAAATTTGAATAATTTCTATGTAGATCATTCTTATGCAAAATTTCAAGTCCATGCACAAAGCATGCTTTCTAAAGTCAAGAACCATTTGTTTTTAAATGTAT